CAGGTGCGCGGACTCCTCCCTGGGGCTCCTCCGCGGGCAGCGGCCATCCTGCTCACAGGGACCTTGCTGCGGGAACTGTGTACAGCCCCTGAACAGCCTGACTCGGGAGTCGCAGCAGAAGGGCAGGAGGAGCAGGACAGTTAGAAAGCTCCCTACGAAGGGGAGGGAGACACGAAGCAGAGGACAGCAGGGTGAGGAAGAGAGGGGACCCCAGCCCGACCCTCCCAGCACCGCTGCCCAGCCTCTCCCCCAAGATGATGAGCCCTCAGGTCAGCGGACCAGTGGGGACACAGCGCAGCTCAGCTGCCTCCAGACCCGGCAGGTCCCTCTCCTGGGCGCACCGGGCTGCTCGCGGCGGGACCTCGGGGGCCGTATTTGGACCCAGATTAAAAACCAAAAGTACAAGGATATTTTTAAGATAATCAGGAAAACTTGAAGATAAACTCAAGTGTTGCACTAAGAAGCCTTGGGAACGCCGTGGCTGGGTAAAAGTGCTGTGGTGACATAAGGACGCGTTCAGGGTTTTTGGAGAGGCCACTGGGGCTGATGTGCTATACGTAGGTCAATAGCTTTAAAGTACTTTAGTGACCACACAAAAAAGATAGAATGGACAAAACAAGGATAAGTAAGATGTGGAAAACTGTTGATTCTCAGTGGCTTACATTAATGTGTGTGTGTGTGTGCGTGGACATGTGCATATCCACACTCCGTACACAGATGTGCACACGTGGGCTCACTGCTGCAGTCCGCTGTCGCACCTGATGAAAAGTTTTGATCAACAGTTTGAAGAGATTCCCGCACAGAGGCCTGACAAGAGCCGGGGCTCTGGGGACCCCCGTGTGTCACTGCCGATCCCCATGCAGAGCCTTGCAGGGGGCACTGCTGTAGTCCCCATCTACAGATAGGGAAAGGACAGAGCAACCACTTCAGGACGCGGCCAACAGGCCTGCCAACCACCGTGACCCCACCGGGCGTCAGAGGCTAGGGGACTTCAGGTCCTGCAGGCCTGCACCTCACAGAGCAGGTCCACAGCCAGCTCAGAGGCCAGAGAGCAGCCTCCAGGCCTGACCGGGGTCTCCACAAGTCACAGACAGGGGACAGAGGGGAGACCAGGGAATCAGAGAGGAGTATAGGGGAGTGGAGGGGAGAAGCTGGAGAACATCAGGAAGGACAGAGGGCAGGGAACATGCTGGACTAGAAAGACAGAAAGAAGAGCCGGAGGGTCCAACAACCCCCAGGCCTCCTTCCACCCCTCCCCATCCCAATGCCAGGCAGAGGTGGAAGGCTAAAGGACAGGCCAGACAGACAGGACACGTGATGCCAGGGCAAGGTCCACCCGTCACTCGCCCCCTCTCCAGTCCGCCTCCATCCTTCCCTGAGACCATGGCCCTTCGAGTCAGAGCTCGGCTTCTCCTCACCAGCTCCAAGCTCAGGAACTGGGAAGGAGGAGAGGGAAAATCATGCAGAGAGGCCAACTTTTTTTTTAAACAACTTGGCCAAGATAAAACTCCTCCCATCAGTGAGAGGAGAACCCACGAGGCTTCACCCCCAGGCGCTGAGGCTGGTCATGCTGACCTCGGACTATAGGAGTCTGAGCTCCTGCGCCAGGAAGCCAGGCTGATGCCAACCACGGAGAACACGCTGGGGGCTGGAGGTGTGCCGGGGGCACAGACGGGGTCGGGGGCTCAAAGGAGAGAGAGGGACAGAGGACACAGAGGACGAGCCGGCCCTCAGTGCACTGCAGAGGCCGGCGGGTGCTGGGGTGGCAGCCTCACCCCCTCGACCAGTTGGGTCTGAACGGGGAGCCTCCCTCCTTCCACAGCAGCACCTAGCCACAGGCCACCGAGCAGGGGCAGCCCCAGCGTCCCTCAGCTGACCATGGATAGCCAGGACACGGCACAGCCACAGCACGGGGGCTACTGGCCCTACAGAAAGCAGGAGAGCTCTGGTGCAGGTAGACCCAGGCAGACAGGGAAGGCGTGGCACAGGGGGTCGCCCAGTCAAAAGGCCACTTGTGCCGCATCCCACAGAGGCAGGAAGTGGATCAGTGGTTGCCAGGGGCTGGGCAGGCAGGGGGACAGGGTGGGCGCAGAGACTCTCTGGAGAGTGATGAAGACGTTGTAAAATCTGACGGTGGAGCCCTGTGCTGCTGACGCACCCAACATGGGAGCTGGGCGCGTCCAGTGGGGTTGAGTTCACGCTCTAAGAAATGCATCTCGATAAACCCGCAAAGAAATTTGCAATTTTTGACTAACAATAGAGGGATAATTACTTTCCCTTCCCTTGCAAAGGTTTTTAGTACAAAATCAGAAGCAAAAAAGCATTTCACATAGATGAGAGTGAACCAAACACCAAAAAAAATAATAAGAGAGCAAACCATCCACCTCCTCTGTTACCGGCCACGACCTGAGGCACAGGGTGAACTGGGTCTATGCAGCGGGGACATTAGCCTGCCACGGGCTCCCCTCAGAGCTACACTGCGCCTGCTTCTCCACCCCCACCCCCATAGTGACTCTTTACCATGGGACTCTTTAAAAATTGAGGAGAACTGGGGATCGGAAGCCACGTCCCTCCCTTGGGTCAGTCTACACTCTCTCGCCTGCAAAGAAAGCCCAGAAGGATCTGGAAGAACCTGTGGTCTCAGAGAGACCTGGCAGTCTCCATGACTTCTGGGGACAGAAGTGCGTCACCCTCGCTGCCCAAGGGGAAGCGGTCCCAGCACCCCTGCAGACACCAACCTCCACGGATGCTGTTTCCACATTAAAAGGCACAGATCTGCCCGTGAAGTCTGCGCACCTCCCGTGCACTCTGCACCACCTCTAGATCCCTTAGACTATGAGAGTGGTTTGAACACGGCTGTCATGCTGTGGTTAGGAGCCTGACTGTGACCCTGTGCCTCTCTCTGGAGCCCAGACACGATGGGTGATGTTTTCCAGCCGTGGTACGGAGATCCATGGATGCAGAATTTGTGGACGTGCAGGGCTGACTGACTATATACCCAAATGGAGTTCCAGGGCACTGTGATTTCTTAGAATTTTAAAAAAGTCATTTCCTCCAGCCATAAAATAATTTAAAAGCTGAGACACACGCTCCCCAGCAAGCCCTCCAAGTGGTGTGGGCGGCCAGCCAGGCACAGCGGGGAGCAAGACCCCGTACCCACCGGTGGCCTCGCTGACTGCACCTGCAGACCCTGGACCAGCCTGCACCGGAGTCAGCGCTGCGGGCAGCCGGGCTACCAGGAAGGCCCCCGGCAACCCAGCCCTGGCTGAGAGGGAAGCGTGTTCAGGAAACACGGGGACGGTGGGAACTCTCTACAGGGACCGGAAACAAGAAGGTGGCAAAAAGGCTGTAGGTCTAACCCGACCGGAGGACAGTGCCCGTAGACAGACCACCAGCTCTGGAAGGTGGATGAGCCCATGTTCCTCATGGGCTTGGAGGGCTGTGGTCACAGGGAAGGATGGTGGTAGTTGGGGGCTTCACCAGCCCTGGAGTGCCACACTGCAGAGTTCCCGAGCAACCCTGCCTCCCTGAGCACCGTTAGTGAACCAGAGCACCCCTGCACCCCAGGACACCTGCACCC